TGCACAAATATACATAAGTATCTGTGTTTGTATGGAATAGTAGCTTATGTCGAAAGGCTGGCTTTAGTATAATGCAGCATGCGCAGCATACGATTGCGAATGACTCACTGGCGCCGAGCCGTGGAAGAACTTTTGGTAAATAAACGTGCAAGAAATAGTTCCGATACTACTAAGTCAATATTCTTATTAATTCTCATCAAAAACTTCCTTGTCGTTTAAAGAATAAAGGGAATGCCGCGTTATACCAAAAGCCAACCTTCCGACATAAGCTACTGTTCCATACGAACACAGATACATACAAATATATACATACATATGTACATGCATACATGCATGGATTTACAATATTTTCTAATAAATCAAATGCAAACCACTTTTCAAATACGTTCGTACAAAAAAATTTGCTATAAAAAGTAGTCAATGCTCATCCACGAACGAAAAAATATCCACATTATATGTACATTTGTATGTAATATGTACATACTATGTATGTATGTATATACGATTTCGATCATGCTATTAAGTTAGTATCCAATTGATTAACATATTAAAATATTCTAGTCATATGAATCAAGAATTGAACCTAAATGCGCATTGGCCAGCACAATGGCGGCTATAAGAGGATATAAGCGAGTATTACATACATATATACTTTGTTATATGTATGCATATGTATTTATATCTTGGCGAATATTCTTAGAGCAGCGAAGATTTAATGGCGCTTGCCCACTGACCAAAATCATAGCAAAATAGAGAAAAAAAACACAAAAGTCAATGGCAAAAAAGGTAAACGAAATCTGCTTGATGTACGTATGTTTGTATGTATGATGTAGGAGGTTGGCGCTGGGGTTCTGCAGCAGTTATGCACAACGCTAAGACCAATGCTATGCAACAAAGTAAGTTGCCCGAAATGCGGTGGTAGTGCAGAAGAGAGCCAGCGTGTGATGGGTTTTGCGGATCGAGTGCAATCTAAATACACAGATAGATAGGTATGCATATGCATGTGTACATTCATATGTATGCAAGTGGTATGTATGTATGTTCATACAGCCGAGCAGATTGGGCCATTGTTATAGATGCGACATAGAAGCAGTGCCTCCACAGCAAGAACAACAATAATAACACTAACAAAAAAAAAGTCAACAGTGCTAGTAACGAAGTGGCGAGAGCATCATCACCGGCTTTTGGTGGCTTTTGTCGCCCGCCCTCTCAGCCGCCACCGCCGGCGCCGCAAATGCCACCATCACTACTGTAGCTTCTCCTCAACACCTTTGACCTATGCCGATGCGCAGCACAATTGCCGCCAAACTCTCATATAAAAGACAAATGCAACGGCTCAAACTGTCAGTACGAATTAAAAGCGTCTCGAGTACGAATACGGATAGGCAATAAATAGTAATAAGTGAACGAAAGAGTAAAGTCGTGAATCAAAATAACTACACATTCGTATCTTAGTGATATAGACGAAGTTGGAGGGAGAAGTAGAGCCAGCGGAAGCGAAAGCCGCGCTTGCAGCGACAAAGGATCCTGTTGTAGAGGCAAATTTATAAAACACAAAAAAGTGCTGGTCGGCGAAAGGATAAAATCCAGGGGGCTTAAAATGGAAATTTTGTCAATTAGAGTGTCGTACGTCGCTTTGGCTGTGCTGATTGCTTGTGCAGTGTTGGCGCAAGCACGACCACAGGCGCCGGAACAGCCAGAGCCGGTAATTTCTACATGCCACACAATATCTACTTAATAGTTATGTACATACGTAAAAATTAAAATATCAAAGCGTAGAAGTCTTCATAAACTTTCGTAAGAATGACTTCAAAAAAAAAAAAAAAAACTATACATAATTCATGAACGAAACCTAATACGTCGTGCTATCACATAAGAAAATCGGAAAACTCCAGCACAGCAATTACTTTGAAAGTGCAATCGCAAGTGAATTAATTATATTCTCATTCGTATTGTTTTGAATAATCTCTACGACAGCGAGTGAGCGTCAGATAATTTATAAAAATTACGCTGTCAACATTTAAAAATTGCCGCCAGAGTAAATTATGTATTAGCATTAGAAGGGTTGCGCTCAATTGAACAAAGCACAATACAAAAGTGCACACTTAAAAATGGAAAGATAATAAATTTAAAGAAACTTAAAAAAAACCGATTTAGAAATTAATGTATTTAATATATTGCGAAAAAAAAAACAATTTTAGCAATACTTGGAGAATGTGGCAATTGTTTGCGAAATTAATTAACAACAGGAAATAAAATTTTTTAAAAAAGGTTACTATGCTAGTAAGGCTTGTACAGGCTGTTGCTAAATTGCCACCCTAATTGAGAAAATATTTTTTTTTAATTATTCCATTTAGGATCAAACTCACAGTGCGTATGCTAAAATTAATAATTTTGAATTGAAAATTAATATTTTGAATTGAAATTCTAAATGTAAGATTTCCATTTCAGTCTAGTAATTTAAGGGCCTAATTCTCAGTGCGTAGTTATTAACTCAGAATCGGCAGTTAACTACAGATTTTCAGTACGAAAATTTTTAGCGTAGGAGTCCAATTTGGGAGATGACGTAAATAATCTCACACATTCTTCCCAAATTGAAGTAGTTTTAGAAATTTCCAGTAGTAGTAAGATTGAGGTCATCTAACTCAGGACAATTTGCACGTAGCCTAAAAGGTGATTGTTAAAATGTTTAGTACTGACTAAATTTTTAGAGAATAGTTAATCCAAAATGGCAAATTTTTGAGAAACCAACAGAAAATATAATCTTAAAATCAGTGACCGTTACGGTTATGATCTTAATAGTTAATAAAAATTATAATATTACCTTTAATATTGGATTTCTATTTATTTGCTCAAGTTCAACCGATATTTTATGTGTTTTATTTTTTCGACCATATTATTTATAACCGTTATTTCCATATTGAAGTTTTATAGATCATAAACAATTTAAAACAGTCATAAAAAAGTATATAATCTCAATTATAAGTGTTAATAATTATCGAAAAAAAAACAAAAATCTAAATAACGATTATTTTTGATGGAAAAAATCAAAAAATTGCCATTAAATTTGACCGAAAAAAAATAAAAAATAAAAAATAATAATGACTGCAATTCTCTAAAATGTGAAATCTTAATATGTAACGGTTATTTTCAGTTCCTGCAGGCAATGAAACGTATGGTTATTTATCCCCTAGAGAAATCTAGATGTGATTTTTAATTTTTTTATACATACATTAATATCGTTACCTTAATATAGAAAGGACCTACCTCAAATCGTCGCTGAAATACAAAAAGCCGTAACTAGCTGAAAATACAAAATTCAGTTTTTAATCGATTATGATGCATTTAATCGAAATGTAACTCCCCACATCGTTTTATGCAATAAAAAATTTTAGTTAGTTGTGGATCTTTGCATTTCAGCGACGATGTGAGATAGGGTCTTTCTATATCAAGGTAACGTTATGTCTGTATGTGTGTATATCGATCTAAACTCGCCGCTCATGCAAAAATGGCGTTGAAATCAAAAACGGTTCGTAAATGAAAAATTCTTAGTTTAGGTTGAAACGACTAAAGGCACACATAGGCCCAGAATAGTAGCGCTGTGTTACTATATGAAATATTAATGCCGATGGTCTTATTTCCGCCAGTGAGATCTCTGCCAAGCGTGCGTAATATTCTTCTATGATCTTGCAACCACGACATTTGTCCGATGCGTCAAACTTATAAGGAGGGCCAAGAAACCTCGCTTTTTCATAGGACGAAAAGTTTATCCACGCATTAGCTAAATGAGTCGTGTGATCTTTGCATATCCTTCGAATGAAGGAAATTATATACCGACCTTATTCTCTCTTGGAAGGATGTGGTCAAATCTTTCCTTGCTAATTCGCCAATTTTAAAATTAGTTTTAATACCCAGGCGTCCAAGCACATACTATATAAATTTGACTCTATAAACCAGAGCTATCTAGATCGGAGATGCACAGCAGCCAGTATGGGAATTTTTATTGTCTATGCGTGAGTGTTAAGCTTTTGGGGCTGCTTGACTGCCACAGAAGAAAAATTCTAATTTTTTCTCTCTAGGTCTTTGAAAAGATTTCGTTTTGCCTCCTGAATGGCAAACACTTCTTCTTGATGCCCCGTGCCGCGGTGATGTCCTCAAATGTTTGAATGACCAGATAATTCTTTGAATCTAACTGCTGCAATAACGGCCACCCCGATCAATTTCATCATGCGGCGGTAGCTGCAAGATCGCAATTAAAGTGTGTGTGCGCTTACACAATTTTGCGCTCTTTGTATGCATACTTAAAAGTAAATTGGTAAAGCATATGCAAAAGGTCAAGGCAGATCAGACATACGGGGTTTCTATATACATACATATATATGTATATGTACGTATTCTGCAGCGCCATCTTTTGGGTCCATGTTTTGTGGAAGCATTCGTTATCATAAAAGGAAAACGCATTATACACTAATTACGGATTTTCTAAATAACTCGACCCCAGTGCCACTTAGTGGGTCTATTTTCCGCAAACGTATATTTCCTCGTGCAGGTAGCACTCATTTTGAATTTGACGAAATCGGTTAATAAATACGTCCTTTGTGAATAACCCGACTCCAGCGCCACCTAGCTAGGTTTGTAGTAGCTTATAATAGGACGATATTTGCAAGGTATAACCTCCTTCACTGAAATCAATCCAGTAGTTTTTTAGTTAAGTCCGAGCAAAACGAAAACGGCTATCATTTTACATACATATAGATTTGGCACTACGAGCGTTTGTCCGACTAGGTCGGGAACAGAAAACTTCGCCAATATCGTTACCTTAATTTACAAAGGCCCTAACCAAGAAATTTTTTATTTTACAGCAGAAGCAAAAAACATTATAAAAAGAGTATCAAAAACAGGTATAGCTTTTTAAACAGTGGCATGTAACTTCGTTTTTTTAGCTCTAAGTAACACCATAGAATTTTTATTTGAGGGGGTACTTTAATACCTTTTGCAAAAATCGGTGAAAAACGCAGCTTCGAAAAAGGTGTTTTTTGAGCCTTTATGAATTAAGGTAACGATATATTACCTGAAGCTCCACGGAAAAGAAGTCAGATCGAAAGTGTTTGAGACTATTTCGGACGCAAATGGAACTCATGATATTTTCACCTCCTTAAAAGGTATTACATTTGGAAGGACCCAATTCGTTGGTACCTTTTTGACGTGGAAAAGTTCACAGGACCATAGTACAAAATACCTCGTTTCACTCCGAGTCCCAATGCCAGTAGAATTTTCTATACATTAGTTTTATTCATGCAATTGTAACATACATATGTATTTTTTAAATGAGTTTTTTTTCAGTTAGTTAGTTATCATTTATTTAACAAAATTAAACTCAAAAAATTGCTATTAGAATATCATGTTTTTTTTTGCTCTGACCACGGATGGATCGAACCTTGGGCCTCTATTCACTCGGCACAGCAATGCATAGATATTATCCTTAAAATTAAACCAAGCTAAATTTTTATATTAATATTTTTATTGAGTTTTGTACCACAAAGAATAAAAGTTTCCGGAACGTTTTGGCGAAGAACAAAATGGGAACGAAATTCTAAGAAACTTTCTCTAGAAGAACAATTTGGGAACTAAAATTTCAGGAACTTTCTGGCAGCGAACGAAGGGGGAACAAATCTTCTCCAAATTATTCGCGAAGAATGGAAGCGCGAACCAAATTTGTGTCATAGCGTTCCATTAGTTTGAAATCTTTGAATATTCAAATTAATAAAAAACGAACTGAAAGATAATTATGTAAACAAAGTCAACGAAAGACTTAAGACACGAACTTGCACTGAAAATGAAAAATCGTTCCATAAATGGACATTTCAACCTATTGATAAACGATCTGGAAGTTGAAATGATCCAGATTTCATCTGGCGTAGAATTAACAATCGTGGTTCTCACTGAAACGATTTTTCATCCCAATACGCAGACGCCCGTCATTCTTAACGTTAAGTTCTAAAACGTTTATTCTCTTGCAGAACGTTCCCCAGACTTTTGTTTTTATTTGATCCTCCTTAAAAACGTTCTCGATAGTTTCGTTGTTATTATGTTCTCATTGTTAATGTTCCCGAAAGTTTCGTTCTCATTCTGGTCTTCTTGGGAACGTTTCCGAGAGTTTTGTTCTTTACGGAAATGTTCCCAAACCTTTTGTTCTCATTTTGTTCCCGTTCAAACTGCTCTAAATACTTTTGTTCCAGTTTGGCTATTTATTTCTTGACACTACATTTTGTTCTCTGGCAGAACTAAACCAAAATTGGAACGCGTTCTCGTTCCCTGGTTAGAACATGAACATTCTTAAATTTCATTTTTCCCTAATAGCAAATAACGGACCTAAGTATGATAATGGAAATAATCATCTCATAATATCGCTTGAACACGATAAAAAAAAACCATATGATAAAACAAATTGCACCAAAATATGACTGTTAAATAAATAAAGTAATAAAAATATTAGAGCCGTTAACATAGCAAACAAATCTCTCAATCTTAGCCCGCTCTAACTCTTTTTAGAATTCGTATTATTGAAATGAAGAAGAGGCTTTATTCCACTGTTGCATGCCATTCTAATTAAAAAACGAAAAAAAAAAAACTTTTTCTGTACGTAATCAAGAAACATATTCGAATTGCATATTAACTGCACTACTAATTCCTCGTTTCAATGCTACTTTCAGTATGAATACCAATATGAGGTCAAGGATCCAGAAAAGGAATTGTTCTTTAACAAAAACGAGGCGGGCGACGCTGCAGGAAAAGTAAGTTTACATTCAACAAACTAAATGGCAAGCCAAAAATTAACTAGCAAACTTCGATAGGTTTCCGGTCAATATTCCGTGTGGCTACCGGATGGGCGTTTAATGACCGTTGCCTACACAGTAGAGGGTGAGAATGGTTTTGTGCCAAAAGTGTCATTTGACACAACAAATCCGCTGGGCTAAAAGACACGTAAAACAAATAGCAAAGAAAAAACGCTCCTTACGGGGCACCAATCAAATGGATAATAATGAAAACAAGAATGGTGTTGAAACTTGCAGATCAACGAAACTAATTTGTGGTTTTGAATGATAAAAAACACGTAAATTGTATTTAGTTAATATTTAGCTAAGCAAGTATGCAAATGTTTTAGTAAAATTTGCATTATTGAGAAAGCAACAACACACACAATTAGTATATACATACATACATACGCGGACACACATAGGTACGCACACACACAAATGCATGGCTAAACAAACGTATGGAGGACTTGAGATCGTGCATAATACTTAAACGAAAGGCTTGTGCAGCAACAGCAATAATAACAAAACAACGTCAACAACATCTTCTTCGCCAGTTATAAATATGGAATTAACTTATTTTAAAAAGAAAAGTGTAAATAAAATTTCTGCATACATACATATTTACATTGTATATATGCATGTATGTATGTACCTATACTCTTTAACCCTTAAACTTCTTTGCTCTATGTAGGTAAATAAAGCCTTAAATCTCTTCATTTATGTCAACATATGTACTATATTATTATATGATTATTTTGTTACTTTACGTTATATTTTGTAATAATTGTACATCATCTTCTTCGCTTTATGCGCTGAAAGCGTTCACTATGTACCTTTTGATAATACGTACAATTAAAAAAAGAACAAATACTCAATTTGTTTTAGTTACATATGTATATGTGTATAAAAACAAATGGAAAGTGGCTCAATTATAAAATAATAAAGGATTTATAGCTAAAAGAGAACTCTTAAAAATGCATTTGTTAAATTTGTATTACTATTATGAAACTAAAGCGAAATTTTTATCATTTAATTGTCAATAGCAATTCAGACTCACCACATTTCGGCTGTGCGTTAATATTACGGCAACACCTTTTGTGTCATATTGTGGCCGTCCAGCGCGTCCAATCATTTGTAGCAATGTACTCTCTGGATATTCCATCATTTTTCCTTGGTGATAATACTGAAAATTTAAATACCTTTCAATGCAATGTTTGTTTGTTTGTATACTCTACTACAAAGTTGCAAACTATTGCCTTATTCACAAAAAAAAAATAAAGTAAGTTTAAAAGGTTTTATGAACAAGGCTATTAATTTGCAATGCCTACCTCAGTTGACTTGATGACCACAAGACGTGCTGGCAAATTGACACCCATTGCCAAAGTGTTGGTGCAGAGCAAAACCATTAAGTTGCCCTGACGGAAGCTATCCTCAATTTGGTTGCGATCAGTTAGACTCATGCCAGCATGATGGTAAGCGATGCCATGTGCGGTCAATTTGCGCAGTTTAATGTCGTGCAAGCTGACAGGGAAAAGATACATACATGAAAGATAAAGATTGGTAAATAGTTTTCTCTTCTAAACGAGTTTAGAGTTTTAAAAACAATTGTTATTTAATTACATATCGTTACCTTCATCAACAAAGGTCCTAAACCAGTAAGTTTTATATTTTATTAAGAAGTAAACAAACAAAAAAAAACATTATAAAAAAAAATCAAAAACTGTTGTTTTTGGTACAAACACTTTTGCAACTTTTAGTGAAGGAGTATTTTAATATATCCCAGCCAGCAAAGAAACGTAAATTTTGGCGACAGTGCAGTTTAGTTAAATTTTCCGTATCCGAAAACAAATAGAAAAAACTCCTACAGTTATCATCAATTTTCGTATCCGGTAAACGTTCGAAAAAGATAATGTCATTTGAAAGCAATAATTGTATTTTATTTGCTCAAGCCAAGGTACATTGAACAGGTAGTATCAGTAGAGCAGCTGATTTGATTTATTTTCAAATTATTTGGTCTCGAAAATGTCAGATATTTTTAATTTTTTCTCACAAAAATTCTGAATTGTTAAAATCCATTTGCATGTGAAACCTTTTTCCATACAAAACAAGCGATTGAATAGCAGCTTTTGGAACGTTCGCCCAACTCAGCAGCACAACCGCTGATTACTGGCCCTTGTAAAGGATGGATCAATGCTTCGAGAAGCAAACAAATTTACTAGGAAAGAAAGTTGCATCAATTTTTATTTTTTCCAATTTCAATTTTTTATTTTTTATAATTTTTTGTATTTCACATGGCACGCTTTGATTTAGAAGAAAAAATTCAGAACAGTTTTTGACACTTTCGATACCAGAAGCAACAACAAAATACACGCAAATGTTGTTTTTGCTCTACTGATACTACCTGTTTAATGTGCCTTGGCTCAAGCTAAACATTTGAAAGCATGCATGCTTAGTCGGCAGTGGCTGAGCATGCAGAGGAGTGTGCCGCTTTTTAATTTTCCGATTTCGGATCGGTTTTTGGATTTTTTGCTGGCTGGGATCCTATCACAGTCTGTGAAAAACGCAGTTTGGAAAAAAGTGTTGGTTAGGGCCTGTGTGGCCGCTGTGGTGTAGTGGTTAGCAGTGCGTGCTACCACTCCGCAGGGCCTGGGTTCAAGCCTTGGTTAAAGCAACATCGCAAAAAAAAAATAGAAAAAGGTCTTTTCTTAATAGCGGCCGCCCCTCGACAGGCAATGGCGAACCTCCGAGTGTATTTCTGCCATGAAAAACAGCTTCTCATAAAAACACAATCGCCGTTCGGAGTCGGCGTAAAACTGTAGGTCCTTTCCCTTTGTGTAAATTAAAGTAACGATATGTAAATTGCTCTCCAAGCATACCAAAATATATCTTATTAATATAAAGTCGAATTTTTATAATACACTGTAGATATGTACCTCTGTGATAGGTGTGTTAGATTTGCCTTCTGTTGGTCACTAAGTGCGAAATGTGTAGTAATATTTGTTTCTAAGGCTGTTGCTGCCATTTCAGCAGACTTTCGACAATTACAGAAAATCTGTAAGAAAAAATTAACTTGTCGTTAGAGCTAAACTGGGCTAACGCTGAATCCATCGTAATCCGATTTTCGTGAAATCTACGAAAATACAACCAATGAATCCGAAATGCTACGAACGTGTGAATTTAAAGTGTATGCTGCGTTCGTAGCTATTCGGATTCAGTGTAAGAATTTTCTTAGATTTCACGAAAAATCGGACAACGATGGATTCAGTGATAGCCATGAATAGCTATTAACTGGTGGAAAATTGGATGTAGTCTTGTGAATTACTTGGCACAGAGCTCTACAAATAATCCAGCAAACATATTAAATTAAGGCATTCACAAGATGTCAGAACAGTCATATTTTTGTAATGTTATAACCAGCAAAACTAAAAATATTTTTTGATCTTAAAAAATTTACGTTATTGATAATACCAATTTTATGGCAGCTCAATGTGTGAAAATGGGTTTTCGATTCTGTAGAATCGAATCGGTAGACTTACCAAAGTAGCTTTACACTCAGAATATTTCCTCAAAATGCCCATTAATTTGTAATTGAGGCTCATATCAAATTTAAATCCTCGTAAACATGAATTGAAACCTAACACATACTTTTCTAACGGCACAGGACGATCGGCGTCTGAAAAACTAAAAAACAAAAACAAAAAACATTTGCAAAATAAATAGTACAAGCATTTTTAATATCTTACACGAAATGTATGACGTTTTCATGAATAGATAAATTATTTGCGCCATTTCGATCAGGTCCGACGCGAGCAATCCAACGCGTTATGTCCTGCACATTTGGTATAGTGGCTGAAGCGACCACGTACCGCAAAGGCTCGATCATTGTATCACGAGCAATGGTATGCATACGTGAGACTATCGCTTCTAGCACAGGGCCGCGTATATCTTCATTCAACAAGTGGACTTCATCAATAAGAAAGAGTCGCACTGAACTGATGGCGTCCCGGCAGTCACGCCAGTGACGTGTCAATGAATCCCATTTTTCTGGTGTCGTTATAATCACTTGAGCATCGCGCAATCGTGCTAGCTCATCCAGTTCACTATCACCGGTGATGAGTAAACACTTTACACCGACAACCTCAAAACGCGCCTTCCAATCGTCAAATCGTTCGGCACAAAGTGCCTTAATCGGTGCTACATAAATTGCCTTTGTTGCTACGGTGGTGTACACTGTCTGACTGGAGTTGATTGTGTGAGACTGTTGGTGGTCGAGTAACATACGCACAATTGCCAATTCAAAGGCCACAGTTTTGCCAGAGCCAGTTGGTGCACTAAGCACCACAGATTTGTTGGTATGTAGCAATACGTCGAGCAGCGAGGACTGCACTGCATTGAAGGTGTGGTAGTGCTCGAAAATCTTATCAAATGGGGACGCTATAAGGACAAAGATATGTTAAGAAAACCCATAATTTCAATTACAATATACAAATCAATATATTTTTAGAAAAGGATACGTATATCGGATGGTTTTTTATTGTCCATGTTAAATGATTGCAGCGAAAGAGGAAATGAACGGAAATGTCATTTAAATAGCGGTAAACTGAACGCGGAAATGTAAAGCGCTATTGGCAACGCTATTTGCCAGCGTAAGCCAAATGGGATTGGATCGAGCTACAGAGAGGCATTAAAAAAAAATACAAAGTTTCTTAAACAGTGGCAGACAAAAAATTAACAAAATTCTCGTTGCCTAGTGAAAAAATAAGCTCATACATACACATTAGGGATGTAGCAAATGTAGAATTTTAGACATTCGCTAATGCGAAATGGAAAATGTTGTAGTTTTTAATAATGTTTATTTTATTTAGTATATAATATATTTTCAGATTCCAGCCTAATTCTTAAAGGGTCGTAAATCAATCTTGCATAACTAAATAACCGCTCCGTCGGAACATTTGCGGGTGGAGGCGACAAATATCTGCATGCGAAACTTGACAATATTTAAAAGTTCTTTGGATTGACGCTCCACCAGTTGAGAGGATTTTCAGTTAGGTATATTTCCTCGTTTAAAAAACAAAACCGCGAACCGTCGTTATGCACAACCGCGTAAATGACATTTTTTGCCAAAAATTGGATTTGCTCACACAAGCTCTTGGCTCAAGCCTTATCCATTCGTCTTGAAATAAATAAGAGAACCATTTGGAAATATTTATTTATTTTTTTATTTATTTATTTATTTTTTACAGTCTGTTAGACTTATATTGCAACAAAGATTTAACATTCTTATAATTAGATTTTAGATTTAAAATATAATATAAATATTAAATATTAAATACAAAATACAAAATGCTCTACAGAAATTTTTAAATAACATTATTTCTTTATCACTGCAATTATTTTATGTCATTATACACGCATGCAATTTCCTGGAAGTTATGTAGACGGTTGGAAAGGCCGAGTTTCCAATCCGCGCTATTCTTTTTGGGTTACTCCATTTATTGATATCTCCTGGGTGGTCAGAAAGGCCGAGTTTCCGATCCACCCAGTCGCGCTTTCGTGACGGTTAACGGTTGGAAAGGCCTAGTTTCCAATCCGCTCGTTTATTGTTTATTATCTAAGGGTCTAGGTAGTCGGAAAGGCCGAGTTTCCGATCCGTGAGTGGCTTTACTCTCTAGAAATAACTGTATGTATATTACGTGCCTTCCCTTACCTCTCCTTTAAAAGCTTTACAACAGTCAGATAGTAATAAAAACATCAATTTGTCTTCATATATTTTGCAAAGTTGATTTATTTCAAATCTTCGAAAATTACATTCATTTATGTTTGTATTTATTACTAGGTACTACTTGCAAGATAGAAAATGCAACCATTTTCGAAGCCGTAATTAACACCGAGATAACATCAAAAAACAGTTGAAATTTTTTTACAAATAAAAATAAACGTTGCAGTACATGTACGAGCTATTCGCTATTTCGTAGTGCACTGAAGCCCCGCAGATTCCGGGAAGAAGCGCTCTCGTCGTTTCGCTCTTGAGCGTAATTGTCGGGTACTAACATTAATACAAGAAATGTTTAAATAAACTAGCGTATTTAAGGATAAAGTATTGTAATAATAAAAATGTAAGTGTGAATTATATGAAACGACTCCAATCGTGCTAACATCGAGTTGTTAGGAAATAAGCCTTTCCCAATTATTTGTACTTTCTAAGGTGTGTGAGGATGTTCCAACCGCTTACGGTCTTCGGAAGTTATTGGTGGTTCAGCGCTTGATTTGGATGTATTACTATTGTCATCGTCGTCCAGTGTATTGCCAGCCGTTTCCGTATGTGCTTCACCGCCCGTTACTCCGCCATCGCTTTCAATCTCACGTTCTGCTTCATTTTCGTTTAGCATTTCGGTTAATACTTCCACTAAATTACGTGCCTCGTCTAACATTTGACGTGATGTATCCAATTCAGCCTCAAGACCCTCAATTCGTTCGTGCAAATGTTGATTTTCTGTAAGTGTTTCTTCTAGGGCTACACGACGTTTCTCCGCTAGATGTTCCCAATATAGTGCTCCTGGATTTGCTTCACTGGTAAGGTCCTCAGCTGTTATGGTTGACTTCTCACCACCGGGGCCCTGTTTTTGAGGGCTTGTTTGCGTTTCAGACACACGCGTGTCTACCTTCTTGCGCTTTGCAAAATCAGTGGAAGCCAAAGTGGCCTCAGTAGCACTGCAAATAAAATAAATTTTAATTATTTAATATAAGCAGTTAATTTATCAAAATATATTTACTATAAACATATGCATGTATGTGTGTTAATATAGGTATCAATAGAAGAAACGCGCAACTTACGCTTTGAGGCGGCTCAGTTTGTCAAGTTGTGGTCGCCCAGCCAGGTTTTCTTTGTCAATGGCAATCCCGCCCGGCTGCAGCACCTTAAACGTCTTGCGCTGATTCTTCAAATTCTCCTAAGCAACATTAAAACGAGCAAGTGAGGCATATGCGATGAAAATGTCCCAATAACAAAGCATGAAACGAACATAAAAATTAAAAAAACCCAAACTTAGTATATTAAGTATATGAAATTAATGTGAAATGGCTGTTAATAAGGACAAAACAAAAGTAAATTGAACGATGTGTTAGTAGGCTTTTGAGCCAAATTAGCGTGGCTTCATTTATGTTACTAAGTATTTTCAAGCTTCAAACCTGTTGTTCGGCTGCTGATTCAATTTGAATGACGACCTTTTTCGTGGAGACATTAGACATTTTATAGATTTGTAATTAAAACCACGTTATTAATGTTAATAGAACGCGCGTAATGGACGCCGTTAATTTTGCTTCCAAAATAACACAACTGTTTTCAAACTATGATGGTTGAACGAAATTCCTCCACAGCTTTGGCTATTGTAAATGTCAAATTAAAGCGCCAAATATGTAACTGAACTTGGCTGCATACATATACAGGGTTGTATTGTTTGTTATTATTTTTCTGACGTTGATACATCAAGTGCGGAACACATTGAAAACGACGAGTTACGGGCCTCAGCTACCAATTTGTTATCTTCGTTATCTACAGCAGAAGGTATATAATTTTATTTTCTGCGGCGTTGCGTTGATCCGTTGGGGCGTTGCCGACGTTAAAAAATTTGCTGTTACACACCTTGCGTTGTGCCGCTCATTGATAAGCATATCCACAAATGTAATTTCAAATGTCAACGCATGAACGCAACAGAAAAGTTGCGAGTTGGTTTACTTTCGACGGCAACTGCGTTAACGTATTCGTAACGGCGTCGTCTGTAACAGCTGTCATACAAACACATGTGTTCAATTTTATTTGACATTGACAGCGTGACGCATTTGCCGGCGAACACATATTGTGTACCTCCGCTTTAAACGCTTAGTCGATAGTGACATACATTTTTTAACGCGGCAGCAAATAGGAATAGCGCTTATCTGGCCACAACTACAGTCGTCGCGTAGCCTCGTCGTCGCCATAATAATTATCAACATAAGCATACGTGGAAAAATAATTTGACAGCTTTGATCCTAGTGCGGTGTCCATTATAGATTTACATCCTTTGGGGTGATTATTAAAAAATGATTTTATCGAAATTTTACCAGGCCTTTAGAATTTTATTTGACGCCGTAAGAATTCAATTCGGTGCCAAACAAATGCAACTCTGCTATCTCATTTCAAAATGGCTATTGTGTGTAGAAGAAACCGTCGTTAAACGAGAACGAAACGTTTAGTGCGAATTAAAATTGTAAATATTACGAATCAAATTGAATGTTCCAAATTAGAAAAGTGTGTAACTAAAAGCTTTGTAGCTCTCCGCTCAAGGTTAGCCAGTTTAAAGAAGCTCAAGCGCACGTCAGTTTGCTAATTTACTGTCTGTAATTAACGCATGCTATAGGAGCTGCTACCAGAGGGTGTGTATGTCCGTCTGTGGGACTCTACAGGCGTATCGGCGGATCGCTGCTTGTGACAGCTGCTGTCAACGCGTCTCTGTCGCCGTCGCTGTTCACGTTTAGTAGTTGCGCTATTCGCTGCCTCGCAATCAACTTTTTAGACGCTGAGTTTGAAATGTCAACTGTGGAAAAATAAAGGAAAAAGTAGTTAATCATCAAAACCTGGATTAATTTACATAAATTTTTAAATTGAAATTCTGTGCTTTTAATGGACGAGTTTGGAAACTTTAATCTGGATAAAGAACACAATAATTTCACAAGGGAGAGCAACGTACAAACTACAAAACTCACACCAACAACAACTAATCAAGGAACAATAGCCACAACGCAGCTAGATCGCTGCGAGGGTGATGCGATTCATCCGCGTTTACTAAATAAACATCAGACGGAAGCGGTGAAGTGTATGAGCTGTGGTCAAGTATTTAAATCCACTTCATTAGACGAAATTATTTATCATTACGAAAACGTAGCGCATAAAGCATCCTTTGCGAACTGTCAATACTGCGGCGGAAAAGTTCACAAATACCAGTATTTTAACAATATTCATAACTATCACAGTTGCTCTCGTTGTAAAAGTGGTAGGGAAAACTAATATAAAATAGCAGAATGAATCGAAAAATTGATATGGGCAATATCGATACGTATGTTATTGCGGAGCGGTTAGAAAGCGGAAGTGGAGATTCGGGTGAATCAGAGTGCTCGGACAATGGAGGCGGTGTCGATGATGATTCCAGTAGCTTGAGCTCGCGTACGGCTGGTGGCAATGGCTATGGAAAGCGATGGTCCAGAGCTGAAGATAATTTACTTAAGGGGCTTGTTGGGCAATATGGAGATCAGTGGGAACTGATAGCGCCGCAATTTAAAGACCGCACTGAGCAGCAGGTTCAACAGCGATGGGCTAAAGTGTTGAATCCTGAATTGATCAAAGGCCCTTGGACAAGAGAGGAAGATGAGAAAGTCACTGAACTTGTGCGGCGATTTGGACCAAAAAAATGGACACTAATATCACGATACTTAAACGGCCGCATTGGCAAGCAATGTCGTGAGCGATGGCATAATCATCTCAATCCCAATATAAAAAAGACGGCTTGGACCGAAGAAGAAGACAGAATAATTTTCAATGCCCACATGGAATGGGGTAATCAGTGGGCGAAAATAGCAAAGCTTCTGCCTGGCCGCACAGATAATGCCATAAAAAATCACTGGAACTCTACTATGAGACGGAAATATGATCCCCATCGATTGAGGGTATTAGCACGTCAGTGTCCTGATTTGCAGGATTCGCGCTCTAATCTAAAAGCGCTTATCAAAGCGAGTATTAATGGTGCAGGTCAACCGCAAATGCCGGCGCCAGCACAAGCACCGGCTCCAGCGCTATCTTTGTCTGCGCAAATTTTACAGCGCCCTCAAGCGCAGCGACAACAAAACGAACAAGCTCAAGAGCAACCTAGCACATCTGTCGGGGCTACGATGCAACGCTCTGCACAACAAGTAACTAAACCACCTCCTACACGCCCACCACCAAATATTTTGAAGCGTGCTCGTCCACAATACGATGCACAATTGCAGCAGCAACAATATTTGGATATGGCTGCATGTAATACAAATGCATTAACGGTTGGTATGGACAACGTGGGTGTGTCAAGCGGTAATTGGGTAAAACAGGAAACAAAATTGCCTGAATCGCCTGTAATGACTCCTATAAAGCCATTACCATTTTCACCATCACAATTCCTCAATTCGCCATGTTTACCCTCATTCGAGGACATCAGTTTGTGTGCCAGCACACCAGTACATAAAGCCTCTGGACGAGAAGGAGTAGAAGTCAAAAAGGAATTAGAAAGCTCTTCAATCGAAACGCCTCACAAAAGTAAGCTGTTGCTGATAATTTTTGTCATCATTTAAATACTGACGCTGTCTTTGTTTCTTTTATTTTTGCAGGTATTTTGGGCCCACGCACGCCTACACCGTTCAAGGATGCTCTCGCCGCTTTGGGTAAAAAGCGTCGATACATTCCACCAAGTCCATCCTCCTTGGTTGAAGACTTAGCCGAAATCATACACGAAGAACAGGTGAATGATTCTAATAATATGGCTATTAAGAAAGAAAATATGTCGTCGGATGCAGACTTGACCAGCGATACATCCAGAACTACCACTGCCGGCTCAGCATCCCAACCTACAAAGAAGGCACGAAAATCGCTTATCACCAGCTGGGGTGAAAATGTTATGCCTAGTGTTGGTATTAAGCAAGAAAAGAAATCGTTGCCTTTTGAGACCGAGACTCCGAGCAAATTTCTTACTTCGACCGAGTCTATTGCATTCTCTCCCACAACGATTATTATGAAGGATACACTATGCAGTGAGGCTGATCTATTACTAAATACTAATGATGAGGCCAAAAAAGAAAATAGTCCACAACAACGACAGCAACAGCAAGGACAAAATGTACCGTCTTTATTGCCGCCACGCGAACGAAGTGGTCACCAATACTTGGATCCGAAATGGGAGAGACTTGCATGTGGTCAGACCAAGGATCAACAATTTATGGTGCAACAAGCCCACGCATGCCTCAAGAATCTCTCTCTAATGCCGCGGTCACTAAATTTTGAAAAGCAAAAATGACGTGAGCATATAGAAAAACCCCTATGAGACATTCTTTAACAATAATTGTTGATTAAATACTGCACATATACACAAACTATATACATATATATTGGATTATTGTTTTATCGCTACGAATGTTATCGAGTTGAAAGTTTTTTATTTTATATATTATACACTAATATAAACCTAAGATTGCAAACAGTTTGTGAAATATGCATACATATTCCGATTTTATATTTATGTATGTATGTATTTTGTATGATGCTGGAATCGCATTAACTGCAGACGCAGAAGTGTCTAGATTTAAGCCCAAAGAAGTTTTGAATATCATATACATAAGTACGCTATGCACGTTTCACAAATTATTCTTTTTCTATTCATAATTATTGTAAGTAATTGGTATAAATTTGCCAATATAGTAATAAAAGCAAACTAACAAACCGACATTTGAAGCTAAATTCATTTTGAAAAAAAAAACTAAATTGTAGTTTATGTAAAATCCCGGTGCACACCCATTAAGTAACACAACTTACATATATGAATGTATGCATAATTATATAGTACCTATTTACTCCGCAGAAGTGCGAGAACAGGAATGCATGATATGTATCTCTAATTTTTTTAATCAAATAAATACAAGCTATTCAAGGCGGTGAACCATTGACTTATGTTCTTTTAACCCTGGGATAAGCATTGTTCTCAAATGTTCTTAAGACATGAGGAACTTAAAAAATAGTATTTCCAGAAATCAACTGAAATTTTTATTTGTCATTCAGAGAATATACGAAAATCCTTTTATCACAAAGAGACATATGCACAGGCATGCGTCCATATAAATATAGAATATTTTAAGAATATTAATGTATTAATCGTAGAATGTAGTAAAGTTTTACATTCCTACTCAGAATTTAATCAGTCTTCTTACTGAGTGGAATACTTGTGTTTCGCTGCCGACCTAGAGCCAAGGTCCAGTACAAAATCCATAGCGGAAAATAAACTGCCGCTATTGCCATATACAGCCAATTCCCGTAAATCTGTGAAAATAAAATTCCGATGAAATAAATTTTACCAAAGCTTCCGCTTATAAGTTTTAAAATTCACTCTTACTATACTGTCCATAAGACCGAATGTGACTGCATCCATTGCAGCTCTAAATGCTCGAATGGCTATTTGACTTAGTGCTAACTCCGGAAATTCGAACAAAGTGAGCCATAACACCACTAAATAGATGACCACTAATGGATTAAGTAAAAGTGTATAAGTTCGTGTTAAATTCTGCTGCAAGCCTTTTGTGCTCTCGCTGTTCAACAATATCGTTAGTGGTGAGATGAGCACAGCCAGCATAAAACCTAAAGCGAAATTTAGCAGACTAGTGACAATCAGCGCTACACCCATGAAAATTAGCGCAACTATATGCAACAATTGGAGACCAGCATCTGGTAACGTGTAAAATAGTGGCATTAGTATTCCGAAAAGCACTTGTACACCCAAAATTAGGCTCACAGTGATCTCTGTGCCAATACCCACGCCGGTAAAATAATCTCTTACATGTTGACTAAATGGCAGGGCATTGCAGAGAAAGCCCAACAACAGTGCTACTACCATGTAGAGCAATACTGCAATGTATGGCAACTGAACTGGTACTTTTTCTTCATGCATAAGCGAGTCCTCTCCCTCAGTCGAAGTTTCATCGCCAGTAGTGATGGTTAGCCAAAGAAGGAAAGCTTTAATGAACATAGGACTAGCTAACGCAATAAGGCAGGGCATGAAGTCACCAATTGAAACGAAACGATCATTTTGTACCAAAATATAGAAAAAATAGCTTTGATGGAAACGTTCCAACAGGTTATTTAAACTGCGTGAGATGCCTTCTATGGTCTTTAAGAGAGAAAGTCCAGTGCCAAAGCGATTGTTAACATTACTGTTTGTGGTACGTTTTACAGCTTCAAGGGTCAGTGATTCAATGCGGTAACGGTGAAATAGTCCATGATTGCCGTTAGGAATGCCAGTTGCTTGACTCATTAGCATCTCTAGCATGTGACGTAGATTATCCTCTAATGTGCCACGATAGGCTCGGCGCTTCTTCCTTGGCGTGTGTTTATAGCCCGAAGAAAGGCCGCTGCGTGATGTAAGTCGCTGGACCAGGTTAAACATGTCCAGATTGGGTAGTTGACCATTAAGGCCTTCAATTTTCACGTCAATGTAATCTAAAAAGTTGGTATTTAATAAAAGCTGATTTAAAAAAGTCCATATGATGAACTCTGAAGTTCAAAGCCTGTTTTTTAATCTTTACCTATATCAAACTCTTGCACTTCCAAATTTAGAGCCGCTTGTAGCGCCCCTGCTCGTGCGGGTAAATTACCGCATCGCAAAATTGGCGAATCCTTAATTCCACCTTCATGGTAAGCCTCTAACCAAGCATGCATACCCAGTTGCTCTTGCTCAGTTACCAAAAATACTAAATCCTTTGCCCAGTAATTTTTCTCTAATAAAAAAAAATGCAAAAGTGAATGAACCTACTAAAAAAGAGAGCTTCAACTTACTGCGCGCAAAGTCGGCAAACGCCAGAAGCATAGGTACACTTGCCGTAATGTCAACATGAACTGAGTTCACTGAACGATATGGCGCCGAGAAAACCACACCCTCTGTGGAGCTGATGCGCGGAGCACGTAATATACCATAAACATTTTTGCCATGATACTCTTTGCCGCTGCCAAAAGGATAACGGAGCGTAAAGTTATGCACATGTGTTTCAAGTCCAATTTGATGCATTTTTGCAAATATCCAAGCATGCGGAGTTGTGGATTTGTGATCACTGCGCTCACGTAGCAGCTCTTCATATAAAGATTGGGCAAACCGTACAGAATCTTGAGCAATTTCAGGATCAACCAGTCCTAAGAAGAAAAATTTAATCATGGAAAAATTTATTTTTAATTATATTACCAGGAGATAGTGCATTCTCCGATAGATAGGTGCCATGGCTGAATTCGGGGTGTGACAGGCAAACGAACCAAGCCAAGCCGGCTACGTAAAAAAACAAAGAAATTTTGCCACTGTGTTTGGCAAGGGTACGCCCAAATTTTCCTCGCGGAGTCAATGAGGGGTCCGAAAGGAGACCCATAGTGACTTAACTTGATTTTAATTAATTTTTAGCTTATAAACAGGATAATTTGCACAAAATACAGAAGCCACTCTCAGCTGTTTTTGGCCCGCGTTGCCAATACTCATAATAACCATCGTTGCCAATTGCAATTTCCTACAACACAATTTGGCCCACTGTGTGCACCCAATTGGAAATATGTATAGAGTGGGTCAAAAAATGGTAGTAGAGTAGGTAAAATAACATAAAAAATTTGACTATCAGGCAGGTTCTGCAATTATTAACTTGCGTGTGAATTTCAAAGGCGGATTCATCGTTTTAGTTCATATCTTTTTTTCCATGTGGTTGTTCTTGTGGTTCAGAATCCTCCTTCACCCATTCAATTATAACTCAAAGTGACTTTGCTTGAAATCCACTAGGAATTGCATAACCTGCCTGTTTATTTTTTATTTTCATAAATCTCCGTCATCATACTTAGAATAATTTTCAAGAAATAACATGAATTAGTTTTCATATTTGTCTACATCTAATTTTTATTATAAGGTTTATTAAATTTGTATTACAACAAAATTAAGTAACTTTCTTAAATTTAGCGTTTCCTGTCGTATTTCTTTTTGGCGGCACCCAACGTAAATAAGCTGGATCCACTGTCAATGTGGGTTTTTTGAATTGCGGTAATTGCAAATGTTCCATTACTGTTTTTGGCGTCACACAAATAACGTGCTGTCCTTTCCAGTATTTGACCATTTTCATTGATTGCAATGTGTAGATAATATCGTCTTGGGTTATTCCACTCAACTCGCTCAGTTCTTTAATACTTTGCGTGGTGGTGCGACATTCTTTCATTAACTCGAGCAATGTATAAGCCCAATAACTGCGGTAGCTTAGACGTCCTAGATCGGAAAGAGGTTTTTCTGGACTGCCAACAACACCTTCGCGTCGTGACAACTCATAGCTAAAAGCTATTAATAATTTCCCATAACCTTTCCGCTGATATGGCGGTAGAATTAATATGCAAGCCACGTTATTGTTTTCTGGCGACTCCTTTTCTTTTGAGAAGTAGCCGACAATGTGCGCTCCACGTTTGTCTATTTCACAAAGTACGTAGAAGTAAAATGGCTCTACATCATAGTATAGCGTTTTATGATCCAAGAATAATTTAGCCATTAGGCATAGCATTTGACAGTAGAGCTTATGTTCTTTGCCATCAATTTCAAAAATTGATATAGTCCCCTTTCGATAAATTTCATTTCCGGGTGGCTGCCGTTGTGTACATTCGGATGCGTGATAGCGATATGTTTTTTGGAAACGCATGTATTTCAGACAATACTCACACACATACAGTGTACCCACTTTACCGTATTCATCAGGATAAGGACTAAAATACCATGTGTCTATTTCAAAGCGCCCGATGCGCAATTTATCAATGTATTTGACTTTTGTGATTGCTTCATGTTCTTTCTCCAAAGCCGCTGTGGTTGGATCCATTTCAGCATACGTTTTTTGAATATGATTAATTTCGTCATGTCGCCGCTTTTGGTTTCGTGTCAGTTTGCGATCGCTATTTTCCATTGGCATTGGATTTTCCAAGTTGGCAATTTGTTCCTTACTTAACTGCTTTATCGTTTTACCACCATTGCCATCGGCAACGTCCGTCGAATTCGCAGGTCCACTTGCTGTATCTGCATCTGTTGCATCGGTTATGCGATCACGCGATACCCATTCATCCAAACGCCGATTCAGTCCGACATAGTGCACATAATATTCCGCAGGAGTGCTGGCAGAGTTAGCGGTTGCGACTTCACCAGGACGCGACTGTATAATTTGTGCAGGATGTACATTGCCATCAGCGCGTTTTATGAGATAAACCTCACCTGTTTTTATTTGCAAATCGTTTTGTGTGTTTGTTGTGGCTGACGAATTACTGTTCGCTGCTACCGACTCAGCATTTGTTTTGATGGCGTCGGCATCTGTGGCCGGTGTTTTTGCAACAGCTTCTATTGATTCATTTCCCTGATCATTTTTTTCGTCGGGAGCGGCGTTTTGTTCTTCTTCGGCAGCAGTTTTGTTAGTATTCTTTGATTTTCCAATTTCTGTTACGGTCATATTGCGCGGATATATAATTTTGCAGAAAATATTTCATAAAGTTCCGAAATTACGCTTTTTACAAATTGGACCAATGTTTTTCATTTCTTCTTCTTTCGATAATGTATTCACAATTAGAAATGAAACGATACAAGTAATAGGGCTTTCGCACGAGCGATTTTTCAGGCAACTTTTGCGTTCAACTCACACAGGGTTGCACGTAAAAAAAAATTGAATGGCTAAAAATATCAAAATATAAAAAAATATCAAAATATTCGCCATAAAAAGGCGTTTGCATTATTCAACTTTGCATTCTACTCTTGGTTGGACGGCCTTTCAACTAATCGCTTTCAACAAAGTTGGTCGCAGCCAACATTTAGCCATTCAACTTTTTTTTCGTGCAACCCTGCGTGAGTTGAAAGCAAAAGTTGAACGCAAAATCGCCTCGTGCGAACACCTTTTTTACACAGAGAGAAATTTTGTTGCTCATTTGGAATTACTCAGACGAACGAGAGCACAAAGCGCGTTGCCCGAGCACGAGCAACTCGGTACCCTTCCCCCTCCCTCGTCACTCCCTCTCACACAAGTAACGAGTTGCCGTGACAAAAGTTTCTCTGTTTGAACCTAGACTTTGTACACAATTGTTGTTGTCAGCAGTGAACGGCCAACTAGAAATACTCAGACGAACGAGAGCACGATCAACTCGGTGTCCTCCCCCTTCCTCTTCACTCGTCAAAAGTTTCTCTGTCTGAACCTAACCATATGTATTTAACGGTCTCTGTTAGAGATGGGCACGGGATATCGGGACTCACGGGACTGATTTCGAAATGACCGGGATGGGGGTTATCGGGAAGGTCTTTAAAAATTTTCTTAACACTCCCGATAAAGCTCGCAACTTCCGAAAATTCATAAATTTCCTTAAAAACGTTTTATGAAATTAGCACTTTTTTATGTTTTATTGAGACGAAAACGAACAGCAAAGCAAAAAAAATCCAAAGATGCTGGATCTTTCAGTTTTTTTGTTATTTAAAATTAATTTGAGACATGTGAATAAATCTTTGTTATAGATCTCGGGACCCACGGGTCCCGCGGGATTATTCTGAAAAACGTCGACATGAGCAGGTTCGGGTTCTTAAAAATTGAGTTTCGGGATGGGCGGGATCGGGATTGAATATTTAGTCCCGTGCCCATCTCTTGTCTCTGTTCACAATAGGGGTGCATAATTTATTGTAAATCGAGTGGACTGCGTAACGTCATATTTACATGCTCTGGATTAACAACTTAGGGCCGGTTGTCCAATGTCTGGTTATCACTACTTACCGATTAAACATCATTATCGACGTTTTCGCCATCATGCATATAACATGTGATCGATAAAGCAGTCGTTGTATTTAACCTGAGCTTCTACCTTCGTCTGAACGGATCTTTTGCGTGCGTGCCGAAAAAGTTTGAAACTGACAGTTGGGAAAATTGAGTGATTTTGTACGAAGAATGCCAGATAAGCATCACTGAGTTGCCATATGGGATGGCAACTATCACTACTTAGGGCCGGTTGTTCAATGTATGGTTATCACTACCTGCCGGTTAAACATCCTTATCGACGATTTCGACATCATGCATATAACATGTGATCGATAAAGCAGTCGTTGTAATTATTTGTGCTAATCAGACATTGAACAACCGGCCCTTAATCTTTCATAGGTTAGGTTTGGTTAGGTTGAAGTGGCTGCCAGGCCCGGATGACGCTAGCACACTTAGGCACGATCAGGGCCCATTGTGGTACCACATGGATCCAAAACGCCTACTCCTTAAACCAATTCGTGGAGTCTGCGAACCTTAGCAACTGCCGTATTCCAAACTTAGCAGTTGCGCTTAGATCGTCTAGAAAACCTATACCTAGGAATTTCTATCTTTTCCTGCCTAGTGCTGGTCGATCGCAGAGTAAGTGTCTTATTGATTCAGGCTCTTCTTCGTCGTGACAGCTCCTGCAGTAGTCGTTGTAACTAACCCCGAGGCGTTCTGCGTGCCTTTCTATCAGGATATGTCCTGTGAGCAGACCAATGGCCAGTGACATATCGCCTTTATTGAGAGTGAGAATCTCTCTCGATCTCCGTACATCCCAGTTTGGTCATGCAAGCTTCGTTGTATTACAGTTTTCAGTGCGCTCCTATCTGTAGGCCGCTTCTTCAAGGAAGTTCTCCCTTAGTAAGAGCTTGCAGGAAGCGAGTGGCATACCCATCCTCTACCAGGTTGGTAGTACCCGCCCTTGTAAGCTCGTTTGACTTCTCATTTCCTGGTATATCATTGTGCCCGGGACCCATACCAGGTGTAAAGCGAACTGCTCTGCCATCTCATTAGTGATTAGCGGAAGTTCGCAACTGTTTCCGATTTTATAGAGACAGAGTCAAGTGCCATAAGGGTCGCCTGACTGTCTGAGTTTATATATATTTCCGTAGTGGCGATAACAGCTAGTTTTAGGCTGTTCTTAAAAAAGGAAGTTCTTATCGCCGGATATATATGAGTAGTGGGAATCCATTTCGAAATCTCTTCTTGCCGCTACGGAAGAGTTGGGCAGCTATTATCATCCACACTGAAAACATTGTTATAACGCATACAAAGTCAATCTTCAGACAATTACCACACGAATGACTATTGATCAACACCGGAATACGTAGAGGGAAGAGAGATGGAAGAAGGTAGAAGCAGAAGACACGAATGCCTATATCTTGAGATGATGACACGCGAGCATGCGGCTTGATATTCTATAAAAAAGTTCCAAAATCGGGCGACAAATGCGGCTGTGGTAAACCAGGAAGAGCGAGCCAAAATTTTTCCAATTTAGCCTCAGGAAAACTGGGAAGCAAATGTTGAGATGATTCCATATCATCATCCTCTTGACAGCTGATGCACAAAGGCCTTTAGGAACCACCAAAGCGAAATCTGGATATTTTCATGCATAAGGAACCCTTTTGATCTTCCCCGGTCCAGCCCAGGCCAGAAGAATCTTGAAATTTCGTATGTCCCAGTTTCAGCTTACATGTGGTCCGACCTCAGCAGAACAGAGACATCACATTTTTCAGCAGTGGGTTTAACGTTTTTTTTTATGGCAGCTATTTCCACCTCAAAGACACAGAAGAAGTCCAGAAGCCTGAACATAGTTTTGATAGAGAGCTTCCACTAAAACACCTCCAGCAACCCTGCCTCCCAGTTTTGATCCGTCTGTGAAAAAGGCCACTGCTACCTTCTTCCATTTGTCTCATACCACCCATCCCTCCCTTGAGGGAAGGTCGGTAGAGACGGAGCAACTGCGAGCCATTTCGGAGGCACACTAGTCTGCTAGTTAGTTCAGGAATGAAATCGAAGTCTTCCAGAATTTCAGAGTGTCCAGCTTTCGAGCCAGTTAACCAACCGGTTCCCATAAGCTTAATGATAGCTCGCGCTGCAACAATTCTGCTCGCAATATCTACATGCGTAATGTTCAACATGACGGTAAGCGCCAGTGTAGGTATAGGCTTTTAGTCCGCCACTAATTCCGAGTAGAATAATCCGCTGTACGCGCTTCAGTTGTTTAGCAAGTGTAACCTTCTATAGCGAGTTCCACCAAACAGTGGCTCCGTAAAAAAAAGTTAGGATTACTTTGGTCCGGAGACCAGCTCTTACCAAAAGCTCCCCTGCCGCATTAAAAGACAACCGACGCCTTTCTTGTCCTTTATTCAAGGCTTACGCGACAGCTTCCTATCCGGGATCAGACCTAAGGATTTGACGCTTTCAGAGAGCTGTAGACGGACACCGCCGATTGAGGAAATAGCCACATCGGGAACATTGTACTTCGTAGTAAACAAGACAAGTTGACTGTGAGAAGCAGTTGGACGTTCACATAACTGGCAAGCTCAGGTAATCATGAGTCAGATTAAAAAGGTTGTCGACAGCCCAATTTCTGCAGTTCATTCAGGAGGTCGTATGCAACCGTAGTCCAGAGCAGGAGAGAGAGAACACCACCTTGTGGGATGCTCCTATTGAGTATACGCTGAGTGCAGGCGCTCATATTTTTTTTTGTTAGATTTGGCACTTTATTTGCATTCCAAGAATTTTATAAAACTAAATATGTACTAATTCAAATATTTTCTAATATTAATGTTTTAAAACTGAACAGGCTTTTAATTAATTACAATTAAAAAGTTCCATTCATTAGTATGTGTAGGAAATATGTATTTCAAAATATTGAATATGTGTTAATTTACATACATATCTAGATTTTAAATTGATAACTTTTTATTCGGATAAAATTTTAATAAATAAATATTAAAAATTTAATTAACGTAGCGTGTTTTTTAATTATCAACTAATAAAAATGAAATGAGTGGTCAAAAATAATAAAAAATCACTACTATTTGAATTAATATTTAGTGTTAATTTACAATATGTATATTATTTTGGTAGTACATACTTATATACTATGGTATGTGTTTAATAATCATAAAAAATAGGTAAATTTAAGATGGAAACACTTAAACTGAAGCTTAACTGCCAAAATGCAATTTGGCTAATTGAATTGAATAGAAATACACAATGAAATTCGATATTTCTTTAACTTTTTGAAAATGGATAAAATAAAAAATATAGTGCTTGACATTGTGTATGTGGTACATATTCGTTAGACCAAGCCAAAAAAAGTCTTGCAATGCGAGTTTCCGGTTAATATTTAATATAGTAACGATCCTTCATTTCCTCCCGCTACGATAATTCTAAGAGGTGCCGCATAGATTTTTTAATTTTTCCCATAGAAATAAAACGCAAAAAAAAATGAATTTTTTCTCTTTGAAGGTAAATCAAAGGGATCAAAGAAAACTTTCGAAACTATAAGAATATATTGATTATATGCCCGTTAAGTATTATGCAGACTCAGATTCATTAAATTCCTAAATTGTCATTTTTTCAATTACAAGATTTGCCCCAAACAGGGTAAGCCAAATAAAGTCGATAAAAAGGACTAATTTAGGAATTTAAAGAATCTGAGTCTGCATAATACCTAAAGGGCATATAACCAATATACTAGGACTTTTTGATTGATCCTAGAAAATTGTATTGGCTTCAAAGGAGAAGAAATTATTTTTTTAAGTAGGGGAGAGATTAATGGAGGATCATTACTCTACCAAATCTTCAAATTTGTGTCAGTTTCCTGTCGCGTTGCAGGATTTTTTATTTTGGCTTGATCTAATATACGTACATTTGAGATAACTCTAATTTTTTCAAATTTAAACATAATTAACATTTAACATTTACGCCGGATAATATGTATATGGATATCTGTGGGCATTTGACAACGCCACTTAAGTGCTCGGGCATTTTTGCTTATATTCATGTTAAATCGTTGGGGTCCCAAACAAAGTTTTCACTCTGAATTAATCACAGGTGTGGAAATAACCGTTAAATACCATAATTTTTTTGATCATTGCAAAATCGTTATTATTTGATTTTTATTTTATCGATTGAGAATAATCGTTAAATTTCGATACATATTTTTTTCGGTCAAATTTAATCGTCGAATCGTAATTTGTTTTCAATACAAAAATAATCGTTTTAAATCGAAAAAATAAAAATCAAAAAATAACGGTTAATTTGATCGGTAAAACAGATATCCAATTTTAACGGCTGAATTATGATTCCTATTATAAACATCATAATACGGCCCCTGGAATAAAATTGTAAAATTTTTGTATAGAAACTCACAAAGTTTTTCAACAAAAAGCGAACCTTCGCAAATCAAATAAGCGGTTTTGGCAAAAGTCCACAGCTATAGAAAATTTTGAGTCTGCTTCTTGATTGCCTCATCAAATTCATAGCATTCTGTAAATTTTACGCTAATTTCAACTTAATACTAAAGCTATTACCAAACTCTGAAATACACTTCAAATGGAGCGCCATAGAAGCGGCTAACTGCCACAAACAATATACAATAGAGTGCTGTCGGGTGGCCTTATAGTGCTTATCAACTATATGAGTAACGATTTGTGCTCTTTATTGCTATTGTTGGGTGCAAGAGTTGGTGCATAGTCCCCCTTCTTCTGGTGCAGAGTTACATATATTTATAGGCTTCCAATTTTTATTTGCGTCCCGTCAAATGAAAGTTAAGCCTTTTTGGATACGCGATTTTTCATCTAACTAGTGCGCTGGAGTTCTTCTTTTCCATTATCCTATCGCCTAATATGTTTGTATTTACATTTTGTAAGTATTGTCTAGCTGACTTTCCAATTTTCTCATTTCCACTATCACCTTTGATCAAGCAATCATTTTTCACCTTCCACATTACGTACGGATATTATTGTGGCCCCACCTGGTGTACGACGCCTTTGCTCGTCCTTATAGAGTATTCGTCTATTGGCTGTTGCACTCTCCATTGTTGTTTTATTGCTATACGTATTCAGCACATACCCGTCATTACTTGAGCTGTCTCTACGCACTATGCTCGCTGTGTCCTTGTTAATCTCAATGGGCGAACGTGGCTCCAGTGATGTGGAGTGGCGCAGCTGGTGGTATTTGTTGGGCGTGCTGTGACGGTAACTTTCATCGCCATGCAACGTCTTATACAAATCTGGCGCTTGTTGATGCAATCCGCGCATAAATGCTTGCTTCTTATCCAACGTATCGACATGCTCTCCCTCCAAGCTATCAATTTTAGTTAAATCCTTTTGACTGCGGCTAATTAAATTCACAATTGAGGGGCTTTTCAGTCCACTCTGCAGCGAATTTTCCTTTGACGGACCGCTGTAGAGGTGCGGGTTCGATTTGTAGGCTTGACTGGCGTACAGATTGCTTGTATTGTGACTGTTGTAATTGTTGGTGTAATTATTTTTTGTTAGCTTTTCAATGTAAATGGGACTGGGGTCGTGACTGCCATTCATGGCATGGACGTTGAAGCTTTTGCTGCGATTGAGCGCTTTGGCGTAGGTGCGTGCAGGTTTTGCTGGACCAACGGCCGTTACAGTAGTTGTGTGTTGTTGTTGCATTCTTTGCTGCTGTTGTTGTTCTTGTTGCTGCTGCTGCTGGTGTTGTTGTTGGTATTGTGCTCGTTGCTCAGGATGTCCCAGAGTGCTATAGCCGCTTGATACCAGACGTTGCCCAGATCTCTGATAGCCAGACGATTGCGCGGCATGCGAGGGCTGAGTATGTGGCTGTTGGTGCGGTTGCTGCTGATGATGATCCTGCAATTTGCGTGGCAATGTTTGGGTAGTGCGATAGTCCTGATTTAAATTGGGCGTTGAAGCAGCGAAGTTCTGACCTGTGCGTTGATATCGGCCCAAGGTGCTGGTCGTAACGTTTCTAGAATAGAGGAAAAATTAAAGTTATAATCATATTGGATGCAAAATGGTAGCAAAATGAGAGCAGAGAAACGAAGTGGCGAGTCAGTCCAGTAATGATTCGATTCCGTGGCAAGTAAGACTAAGCTAATAGGTAGCTACTACTACACTTTCTCTTAAACTGCCCAGCTTTTGCAGGACTGCGGTTCAAATGGGGACTAAAAATTAGAGGAGTCTAAGCCGCTGCAGTGTTATCTTTAAGAAAAAAAAAAACCAAATGGAAAGAATATTTAACTCACCTCTGCTTGTAGTAGTCCCCTTCATCACGCCGGTTCGTCGCACTTGCCTCGCGATTTGTCCGCTCAAGCCTGCCCACATATCCGGGATCTGCACTCTCTCGTCCAGCTAAGGTTTTACGTTTCCCCACAGAACCTGGCCCGTACATATTTTCCTTGCCATACAAAGTGCTCGAGTATGGATCTTCACCCAAGTAGTAACGCTGCCTAGGACTCGGTCCACGTTCGCCCGTCTCCCGTTCGTTAGCGTAAGGATCTGCTGAATTGGCACGTTTAAGTTGTGTTGGCGGTTGCCCATTGCGCTCCAAAGGCGTCGCATGCCCATAGCTTTTATGCGTCTGTGTCGTTTCGTTTGGCATGCTCTCCAACTCGGACTCATTGCTGCCTCCCTGACCGCCAATATGACTATCTATGAGATTATATTGCTGATAGGTGGTTTGTTGGCCGCCCATCTTATCGATGGCTTGTGGTGATGGCGACTGTTCACGGGACTTACTGCGCGACTTCATGCGCATTTTACGTTCTGCGCTTGCCGAGCGTATCTTATTGACGAGCTTGCGTAACGAATTTCCTATCACTTGACCCATTCTGCTTGACTTGTGTGAGGCGACGGTCGAGTTGGAAATAGTGGAGGCTGTTGTTTGCGTTGTTTGTGTCGCCATGACAGGACGCAAATAGGCTTGCGAGTGTGGTTGCTCGTGTGGCGTTGTTGGCGCGAATCGTGTCCGTTGATTTTGCTTTCGTGTAAGCGTACTGCTCTGCACATACGCCTGATTGGGTGGTCCATAGCTGATGGCTGTACTATCAGCGACGTTGTTACGATAGTTGCGATGATTACGCACGCCATTCACATATTCTACCTGCGGCGATGAGGAGCGACTGCGCGGCGGTGGTGAGTAATCAGGCGGCGGTTCCAACAGATTTCGTTGGCTATGCGCATGTTGACGCTCTAATGGCACTTTGTGTGGCGGTGGCGGTGAGGCGCTATGTTGCTGCCGTAGCTTTTTCTCGATAGCACGTCGACGTTGTGGCACCGTAGGTCGACCTAATGTGCTGGTTTGAAATAGCTCGCGATCGGGCGAAATTGCACGTGGCTCCGCAAGCATGGGTTTGAGTGAATTCGAGTTGTGTAGCTCATAGCCCACGCGTGTTGTATCGTCCAATGTGCGTTCGTAGCTACGGCTACGCAACTCGCCTAGCTCGTACTTTTTTACTGGACTAGGTGCGAAATCCCCTGAGTGTCGCATTTCTAAATCGCGCTCCTGACTTTGTTGTTTAGTAGGCACGTAAGTTCGTTTGTTGTGGTCCAAGTCGCCTCCAACATTCAGTCCACTGTATCTAAGGTCACCACGTGAACCGCTCACATGACGTACACCCATTTCTCGACTCGTCTTTGCAGTACACAACGCCGGCACATCCAACTCATCGAGTCTGTCACGCGAATTGCGAATAGTCTTTGCCAGAAACTGTGATGATAAACTTTGTCGCTGCTTCTGGTGCAGAATATCTTCGCGGCTTACATAGTTGTCGCTAGACTCCACCAAATAATGATTCTCCTGCTGTTTATCTCGTCCATTATGGACGTCACTACGCCGCAAACGATTGCGTTCGACAGTCTCTTGCAGATCCTCGCGAAATGCTTTTGTGGCGAAGTGATTAACAGGCGGCTCTTTGCGTTCGGTCCAATTCGAAATGCCCTGATAGTACTTGGAACGACCGGCTGGTCCACTTGGGTGAGCCTCCAGAATATGGTCTTTCGGCTGCTTGCGTTCAAAGGTGTTGTTCGCGGTCGCTCTATGGCCGTTGGTCAGCGGTGTCGGTGTCGGTGCCTGTGTTTGATTTGATTTAATAGTAACATTGAAGAAGGTTTTCTTGGTTGGTTCTATGTCGCCGCTGCCGCCACCAACAACACCGCCGACTGCGTCATCTTCTCGTGAATCATTTGAGGCAGTCGATTCACTACCGAAATGTGATTCTAACCACTTAATCGTTTCACCCTTACGTGTTTCCTCCTCACGATCAAAGTCCAGCGGTCGTTTAGTTAATGCATCTTTGCGGTCGGCCAGTAGGGTGGCTTCTTCAAAGAAACAAATATTTGAATATAGTTTAAGCAGAAAAGGATAGCTAATCAACATTTAATAACTGTAGAGTTAGATGCATTTGAATGGTTTTTAGCCTATTTTCTCAAATCAAAGCAGATCAGGTTCGACGTGCTCAGATTGAGGAGATGGCAAAGCTAAACTTTCAAATTGCAGTTCGGAACCTATTTCTTTCGAAGATATATCCTGCCAGGTCCAAAGTTCGTAGGATTATTACAGTAAAGTCATTTTTGAAAACGTTCTTTCAAGTCATTTAAAAGAGGCTAAAAAATCTACTTTAAAACATTGGTCAACAGATAATCGTTCGGCTTTGTTTAGGGAGCGTTTGAAATAAGTAGAATCTAGAGTAACACCATGTGAGAATGGAGTTCCCTTGGCTCTTAAAAGATCAACAGTCGTTTAATCATAATGAAATCTGATTGAAGTAAAAAGATCTAAAAGTCCTCACCCTTAAAAATAAAAAGAAATCAAGCTATAATACTTTTATTAACAAGGGATTTGAATTTATAACAATTTCCCGGACTCTAAAACAATGATTTCAATTGAATTCATATAGTCATTTTGGATCTTAAAATAATGTAGAAAAAACTGTGAAATAAGCAGGTACCTTTAGAATAGTGGAATTCGCTCTTGTGTGTATTCGTTGTATCTTTCGTAAGTGTACATAGCTTGATGAGTGTGTGATTGTTGTTGGAAATGTATTTATCGTACCACATATAAGTTACAACGAATACAGAGACGAGCGTTTTCCACTAACTGAAAGCGTTTGTTTTGCACTTACTAAACTCAATGTAGGCTTCGATCTTACCCTTGTGCGGCTGCAATGCACTCTTCGGATGCGGACGTCGCAATTTTCGCATACGATCCGATAAACTATCCCAATCGCCGGGTCGTTCCAATGAGCCATCCTTTTCGATTTGCATTGTCTCGGCAGCGTATCTCATTTCGGTATTAACCACTTTGCCATCAACAACCCTATCGACGTATTGCTCGTCACGTTGCTTGTAGAGGCGCTGTGTAGCTTCCTAGAATTATTGAAAATTATATTTTTAAGATAATGCAAACCAAATGAATGCTTAATAAAATGTGTGCAAGAAATGGAGAAAATGGAGGAAGTTTTTTAACTGGGTTGGTTTGTTTTTCTAGAATCAGCTATCTTGGAATAAGTCTGCCAATAAACAATGTACTCAAATTCGGGACGAAAGATACACAGCGTGGAATACATAACTGCGTAATTATGTCCCTTTCTGAATCGAAATATAGTATTGTCTCATTAAACATCCGTCGTGCTTTCGAAAAATTATGAATATTGAAACTACATAAAATATTTGCTGCTTTCCGGGGTGGGGAAGTCTTCTCGGAAATACTAAGTACATAGATTAGGACTTGGATGGACTTTGTTCCAAACAAATTATATCTAAGGTTCCATGTTAGAGATACCAGAAGTATCATTTATAATAAACAATGCAGTATAAATTCATCAAAGTCTGTACACAAAATCAAGGATTGAGTCACGCTCAAAAAATAATTACGGCGATTTTTCATTGCTATGTTACTGTCTGAGCCGCTCCTCCGATATATGTATGGAGAACCTCTGTTCGGCAGAGTTTAGAACACTCTGCTCTTTTAAATAATTCATGGACATCTCGTTTATTGACATTTTTATCGTCGGAAGGAGAGATAAAGTTGTAAAAAATTCTTCTTTTTACAACTATTGTGCCACACAATGGAGCACTATTTTGCTGGTATGTACATTCGGGTGGAAAAGAGCAAAGTTGGAATATTTAAGCCGCCATCCAGTAGGATTATTATTGGGAAACTCCTGAAGAGAAACAGAGTTTTTCGATCGAAAAATATTGATTTTCAAGAAGTCTCTACCATTTCTACGAGAAGTTGTTTTTTCCCATATAAAATACCTGGAAAACTTTGAGCGTTTCGAGCACTCTCTAAATATTTTTTGATTTCAAAATAAAAAATAGTGTTTTTTTCGGTATGGAACAATCTCAGTGGGTGTCGGCAATAAAATTCCCACTTTATTTTTTTTTTTGACCACCCTAATGTACATATGTAGTATTCAAAAAAAAAAATAATTTATAAAAAATCGGTCGTTCTCTATACCCGGTTTTTAATACTTCCCGAATTTCACAAAAATACGACGTTGTCGTCGCAGACTGTCTTATTAAGGCAGTTCTTGAAACCCATTATTAGCTTTTAATGTGGTCGCGTCAACATGAGATCTCCACCTCATTCAGGATCATATTCATTATACCTGGTAGGTTCCTTTTCTTAGTGAAGGGTACGATGCACAGTGGTGCCAAAATAGTCCAGTGCCTTTATTTTCCAGACGATTTAAAGAAAAAATTTAAATATTATAAAAGAATTTGACCAAATTATTTTTTATTTTTTAGTGTTAAGATAAATTTTAGGTATGCAGTTTTATAGCCTATTAAATTCAGTGCAAGTTTCAAGTGGTTAAGAAATCGCGTTGATTTTTCATAATTTCATTCTGCTGAAATTCCGAGCACACAACGTAAGCTTGCTAAAAATTAAAAAAAAAAAAATATTTTCATGAAATGGTTTTTACAAAATTTTAAATTTTAGTCGTGCAGTTTTTCCTTTTAGGGAAACCCTGTAATATTTTCAACTAATTTTTATGTAACATTTTTTAACAGGAACAGGGTAATTGATTTTCTTCAAAATTTGTGTTGTTTCTCTGAATTTTGCACTAAAAAATTTAATATAAACAAATAAAAATTCAAAAATGGAGCTGGACAAATTTCTTTTAAATCTTGTCTGGTCTCTAGTTTATTAACCGCTTGAAAAATGAGAGCTCTGGACTATTTTGAGCAGTGAATTCTAGTTTAGCATAATCGTGATATGGTCATAGACTACGACTCGTACTGGAGGAATTGTTATTAAGTTCCGAACTGGCGCACCAACTCTCCAACCACACCAAGAAACGTAGGAGGGGTGACAATACATCTCCTCATGGGCATCCTTTTATTTTTGGAAACTGTACCACACAGCCCCAATTTCGCTTTGAGTAATTCTTGTTTGAAGCAGTTTGTTTATCCATCTGTGGATGGTTAGCTTCACCCTTCGTTTCTCCAGTTCCCGGCAGACCCCCTCAAGAGACGTATTATCGAACGCTCCATCAATATCGAAGAAGGGGCAGAGCACAGTTTCTGCACACTCAAAGGCACCATATATCTCTGTAGTCAGCGCATAGAGAGCAGTGTCCATCTTATACGCACGCTGGTGGGGATGCACAGCGGTCAGCTTCAGAGTGTCAGATTTTTGTCATTTAATACCAGAGCTTCGACCATTATAACCTTAATTTTTCTCGCTTTTTAGCCGACCTCAAAAAAGGTGGAGGTTATCAATTCATCGGAATATTTTTTTTTATGTATGTTACCGCATAACTTTGGACCACGAGAACCGATTTTCTTAATCCTTATTTTATCGGATCGGATCAAGGATGGTACCATACTAATTTGCTTTAGATCAGATCATTGGATCATTAAGAAATAATGGGACTCCTAAATATTTATATGAGAATTGAAGTCGGTTGTGTATTTTGCTAAAAATTACTTGTTTTATAACGACACACTTGTTTTGGGTCGACACTTCGTTATATAGAGGCTTTTACTAACAGTGACAACATAATCAGAAGGTTTTTATGCTCAAAATTTCTTCTGTACAGAAATTTTCGCAACGAAGTTTATTCAGGGGACTCAGCAGAAATTTAGTTATATCTAGTTCTTCATTTTACCAGTATTCGTTACATCGAGGTTTTACTGTATACCTTTTGAAGTGATGAGAAAATATCAAAGGGATATTATCTTTTCACCACTTTCTGTAACAATCAACCATTCTTCACAATAAAACTAAAGGAGATTTTTTCTATAATGACACGTGAAGATGTGAATTTATTTCTCGAAGAAAATGATGTGAAGCAGGGTGTAATATGTTTTTATTTTAAATCGACCCCCGCATCACCTAACGGCTAAATTTTCTGTGGTGTTATTTCTTTCCATTTAAGTAATATATGTACGCTCTAAATATGAAACAAATCGGACCATAAATAAGAGTTTTCCAAATATCTCGATTCCTGCGCCACCTATCGGGTAAATTTTTTTTGTGGAGTTATTCCCTTTCACGTAAGTAATATAGATTCTCAATCGGACCGTAAACTCGGGGTTTTCAAATATATCGACAACCGCGCCACTTAGTGGAATAATTCATTTTTCACACTGCATTGTCATGGGGTTCTGAGCTAAGTTAAAAGTTTAAAGTCTCTAGCTCATCGAGAAGTTGATTAAAATTGATTGAAAGATTTGATTACGCACAGATGAAACATAAAAAAATCGTGTAATAATTAAATTTTCCAATTTTTTTAACAAAAAAAAAGTGGAAGAAACGATCGGCATATTCGTAATCACAAAGACACTAAACGCCAAATTTGTTTGCCTTCTTGTCCACTTTCGAAAAAAAATTCTTTTTGCATTTGTACTTGTCTTACGTGTGTTCTTAAGTGCAGGAAATTTCTTTTACAGAGTATTTTTTCTGGATTTCTATATATTTATTGCTCGCAATTTTTTCCCCTTTAACTTTTCAGAGATTTCCTAATTAACAACCAGCTACTTGTAATTAGCATTTTTTCTTGTTCACATGGAATTTCTTTACTATTTTTAGTCAAGCACATATGTACTACTTCATTAGCAGCCACCTCCCAAAAAAAAAACGCCTAATTTTTCCCCCGATTGACTTACCACAGTTTCGATTTTCTCACGACTTCCCGTTGAATGATCGTCTTCTTCGGGCAGTTCACGGTCTACAATTACTTCGTGCTCAGTTGTTTTCTTGCTCTCTGTAACAAGTTTACCATCAGCTTGCAGTAGGCAACGCTTCTCAATATCTTCCGAATCGATAGTTTTAAAAGACTTGGTCGTATTGGCGATAATGCGTGGACCCAATGGCACAAGTTGCTTATGATCTTCCGCTGCTAGTAAAACTTCTTGTAGATTCTCAACGCCGCTATTGACTGCCTTCACGTAAGTCTAACAAATAGAAATATAAAAAAACTATAAATATGAGTACACATAAAGCATTTGCACATACATACATACTATTATAAAGCAAAAATATATATCTACTAAGTACGTGCTATAAAAAAAAAAACAAGATTTCGTTACGCCTATGTATGTATATTTATAATTATTAACAAAGTAAACCAAAGCAGAAAAAAAAGAATAGAATTGTGGTCGGTGCTATTGAAATATTACATCATCATAATGATGACGTTGAAACTTCATAATCGTCATTGGTGTCGTTATCGACACCAACATCAACGCCAAGAATCACCAAACCAACAAAATACCAACAGTGGCAGCATGAAGCTTAAGCTTATCAGCTGCTGGTGACAAATGACGGTTGTTGGCGCTTTTGGCACTATTGTTGTGGTGCGCTTTTGCTGTTGCTTGCCGCTTCCATCTTAGAGTTATTGTTGTTGTTGCGTGCGTGTAGAGACATCAGACACGTTGAGTGTTACCGCAGTATTTAGAGCAAAACCAAAACCTGCATTTTCGTACAACGATTGTTTTGCTTTGAAATATCCGCTGCAATCTGCACAACACTAACTAAGAATAACACATGAGTGGCAACAACAAATAAAAAAAAAAAAAAAACATTAAACACAGCAACAATAATACGTTACTAGTAACAATAGAACACATTAGTAAGACAATTCACTTTTGCTTAATAAATAGTCTTCAAGACTTAAAGCTTTTACTTTTGCCACTTCACATAAATGCCTTCCGCTTGCCGTTTGCCATTGCTTTGTAATTTGTTTTATATTTGTACATACATAATAATGTACATATCTTCATATGTACATATCTATGCTTGACTTATATTTAGCCCCTTTTAGTGTTTTTTACTTGCTGAGTCAGTTACTTTGTGTTTATGTTAATTGTACCAGGATTGTATGCGGGCAATTCATTGCAGTAAAAAATTAAATTTTTACGCACGTCTAAATAAAGCACTCGCATGTCTTTTTACATATCTACATACAGTGGTCGAAAAAATTATAGCCGCACTACATATTGACAAGTTTTAACATCTTAATTTTTTTTTGCAATTACATTTTATAAAAATATAGTTCATTATTTAACAAAATCCGTGTAAATCCGAGTTCCAAACCTTGGGTACTATTAACAAAAAAAAAAAAAAAACTTTCATACAAATTTCGAGCTTTTTAATTAGATTTCTCAGAAAGATTTTGAGCATGCAGTTTTCTAGCTCATTGAATTCTAATAGAATAAAGTAAAAGTTTCAAATGGCTAAATAGTACCGTTGATTTTTTTTTAATTTTTTTGTCGAAGTTTTTACGGTTTTCATCCATATAAAAATAAATTGTGTTTATTCGTTATATGGAAGTAAATGGGACAAACAAATTCTAAAAAAATTAAACATATTTTTAGCCTTTTGAAACTTGCACTTTATTCCTTTGGAAGTCATTGGGCTACAAAACTGCATACTAAAAATCTTTATAAGAAAATTTTTTGATTTTTTTTTTTCAATATTGCACAAATATTGGCACTTTTCCAGTGACATTGAGTTTCTAATTGCAATACAGAGTAGACTTCCTGGATTTATACGGTTTTTTAAAGAACGAACTATATTTTTATAAAAAAATAACTAAAATTAAATAACAAAAAAAATGTATTGTTTAACTTGTCAATATGTGATGTGGTTATATTTTTTCGACCACTGTATGTATTTATGCACAGATGTATGAATATCTGTGAACAAAAGTAACCGAATTCCTGTACGAACAGGTAGGAGGAGTAGCTATGAATTTAAAATTGAAATTTTTATGTGAAGCTAACACATTTTTTGAAGTGCCTTTATCAGATTGAGAAGCATTTAATCTCGGCACAGTCAATGAACTTCTGGCACTGAAATGTTCTTTTGTACGAGTATGTGGAATAATTTTCTATGCTCCATTTAGTAGCCAGTTCCTTACATGCATAACTAAATATGCATTTATGTTTGCACGTTTGTGCATACTTATGTAAATTTATACTCATTTATAGCATTTGTATATACTTATGTACATTAGGGTGCATCCCAAAAGAAAATGCGGCAATTATAAAAAGTATTTTATTTTAAGATTTCCGCCAAAATATTTCGGAAAAATATTTAAACTTACGTGAGCTAGAACGATTTAAAAATACCGCCAAAATCTTATTATTTTGATTTCTTTATAAAATTTTTAAACAATTTAATGCAAACCTTTTAAGCTCAAACTCTTCTATCATCTGAAGTGATTCTTTAGAAAACAGATTTTTAACTATCTTTTTATAAAAACCTCAATTTTTCCGAAATATTTTGCCAGAAGTCTTAAAATATAAATAATAAATTTTATGTTAGCAATGGAAAAGCAGTACCGATTTTTTTTTTATGGAGAGTGATGCACCCTAATGTATGTACATACCTATGCCAGATTCCGCTATGGAAATAATTGAGTCTTGTCTTGTCACGCATGTGAGAAATTCTTTAAACGCGAATTGGATGAGAATCATTTAAGTATTTGCACTGATTATAAGTACAATACTTGTATTTATACAATTAAATTGGCTACTTAAATAGAAAAAGCAATCCTTGTTCTACAGTAAAGTAAACATTTAATGAATTTTACGCTGTTTATAAGACTTTCAAACAGTCCTTTAGCCAAACGAGGGGTCTGCAATTCATAATATTCCAATAGCTTTACGCAGAGACACCGTTGAACGCTTCCCGGTTTAGGTTAGGTTTTACAAAGGCGTGTGTGAAGCTTTCATACTTTCCAGCAGGAGGCACATCCCACTAGCTGAGGTCCGATAGTTTCACTTCCGTTATCACTGCCAAGCTGGTTAAAAGCGAGTTCCCAAGTGCTTGAGTTATTTTCTTGTTAAACCTCGGCCAAAGATCTTGACTCTTCGCAGTCGTCTCGGTTAGCCAATAGGTAATTTCCTACGGGTTTGATTTACTTGCTAATTTTCTTCACTAGATTGTTGTAAGGACTTATCCATCTCGCTGGTCATCTATTTCGTTCTCTTCGATATTGCCATGTTCAGGAATCCAGCAGAGAGCGGTGTTGAAGTGACTTAGTGACGCCAGCGATGCGAAACATTCCCGAATAATTCAAGGACACTGCAGTCTTCGAGCAGGCGATGTGAGCGTTTGATCTCCACGTCGCGCCACGGACCGGCTTCCAGGTTTAAGGAGTTTAAAAGAAACAGACTTTGGTATAAGCGAACTTAACAAGGCACGAGAATGAAGGGACATACAGGACCATTCCTGTCAGTGGGGGATTAGGTCCAAGGGTAAAGTGACTATAAGGTTTTGAATATATAAAAAATTATGTATTAACTTAAGACTTGATGGAGGTGATCGAATAGTGGCAAAAGCGAGGTTTTGTCGCACATTGAACGATGGAAAGACAATATCATCTAAATTTTTGATTTCCGATTACATTATTATATTAGGATTATTTACATGCCTAGACAAAGAAACCAAAATTGATTTGCAGTGTGAATTTTGAACCAAAAAAAAAACTAAGATCACCACGTAATTATGACCAACGATAGAAAGCTTAAAGGCTGACTTTTAAAACTGAAAAACTGCAATAAATGCTCTTAAAAATATAATCCAGGGACGGGCATACATACATTTGTTGAGATAATAAATACTCACGAGATGCCTAAACACGGAAGTGCATTTTAGAGATGCTAAACACTACACTAACTTTAATTTTTTTTTTGGGTTTTACCTCAAACTTGGATAGAGTTATTTACATTTTTTCTTAAGCGTGAATAATTATGACATTTTCTGAATTCGACGGCCACATAGTCGATCGTTGCTTTTATAAGGTAGGTGATCCATACATAAATGTCCATAATGATCTATATGTATGCGATTGTATGCTGGTGTTTTTTAAGTCGATTAATAGAGCTTTTATGTTGATAATTTTACTTTAATTTTTAATTTTATTTTACAGCGATGTCCGTATTTTAAATTTCGTTAGTATGAACATAGAGAAAGTCCTGTAAAATGGGACTGCTGCTGAAATTTTCAGTTAAAACTAATAACTTTTTTGACATTTGCGAAATTTGCGTAATAGTTTTCATGGTAATTCAGTTATGTTTGAAAATAATTATGACTCGAAAATGTCCTTTAAATTTAGGATTATTGTCTGCAATACATGTTCCATAAATTTGGTGATAAATAAATATATATATTTGCACAAGCCAACAAGTTTAACATTTAATGCACACACTTTAAGTGCACACACTTTCAGTGCACTTAAATGCAATGGATTAAGGCCAACTATGGCCGGGAGTGTACTACTTGTTGTGAGTAAATTGCTCAGCAGCATGTTTGTGCTTCAGCGAAGTGATCTTAACATAAAAAAACGTCATCGAGTATTGCCAGTGACCCAATAACATGGACAAAAAATAAATAGAAGGTAAAGCAATGCGACAGCGACAGCGACAAAACACTCAATGGCCAATTGCGCATTCGCCTTAACTGTAATTTAACATTAAGATGGCCTATCGAGACGCTGTTGATGGCCATAGAAAGCGAGCGTGTTGCTCGTTTTTTCCTTAATTTTTTTTTTTTTTTGGTACGAACGCACTTAACTCACTCAATTTAAGACTGTTCAGCTCTGGTTCAATGGCAAGTGCACAGTGTTAATAAATTAAGAAATTCAACTAGCAATTATTACGTCAAAAAAGCACGAGATGTAAGCGCAGTGAGATGTGCCTACATATTCTACATAATTAATAGACGATGCACCAACAAGCTTGAGCGCTGCCCAAGCGCACCATAGCTGTCGCTAGCGTGCGAATGACAAGATTGCACAAATACAAATTCGAACAATGGTGATTATAACAAAGAGAGAGAAATACAAAAAAAAAACACATAATAACCAGCAACAAAGTGTGTAACAGTGCTTTTCTTTAATCATGTTGTTAACTGCAATGTTGTGTTTGCGGGTTTTTCTCTGATTTTC